GCATTATAAAATGCCGCCATGAGTTGCATTATAAAATGCCGCCATGAGTTGCATTATAAAATGCCGCCATGAGTTGCATTATAAAATGCCGCCATGAGTTGCATTATAAAATGTCGCCATAAGTTGCATTATAAAATGTCGCCATGAGTTGCCTTATAAAATGTCGCCATGAGTTGCCTGATAAAATGTCGCCATGAGTTGCCTTATAAAACGCCGCCATGAGTTGCATTATGAAATGTCGCATTAGCGAATCTCAGGTTTAGGTGCATTGAGAATTCGGCTGGCCGAATTTTACCGAGCTTCACCTCACCCCTCCGATGTTCAGAATAATTGCCACTGCACCGGAAGTACAGGCAGTGGCTGATTTATCGTCTGTGATTAGTTTGTTCAGCTTTAAAAGCCGTGAGTGATTGGATAACGGACTTACATTTTTTAAGTAAGGCCCAGTTACCAGCTTTGTGTTTCGGCAATGATGAAGAATTTGAATTTCTGTCGCCCAGATTAAAAAAATTTCAATGTCTGTCACCCAGATTCGAAAAATTTGGATGTCTGTCACCCAGCGTCGAAAAATTTGAATGTCTGTCACCCAGATTAGAAAAATTTGGATGTCTGTCACCCAGATTCGAAAAATTAGAATTTCTCTAACCCAGATTCGAAAAATTAGAATGTCTGTCACGCAGATTCGAAAAATTTGAATGTCTGTCACCCAGATTCGAAAAATTTGAATTTCTGTCACCCAGATTCGAAAAATTAGAATGTATTTCACCCAGATTCGAAAAATTTTGAATATCTGTCACTTAGATTCGAAAAATTTGAATGTCTTTCACCCAGATTCGAAAAATTTGAATGTCTGTCATCCAGATTCGAAAAATTTGAATGTCTGTCACCCAGATTCGAAAATTTTAAATGTCTTTTACCCAGATTCGAAAAAATTTCAATACCTATCACCCAGATTCGAAAAATTAGAATGTCTGTAACCCAGATTCGAAAAATTTGAATGTCTGTCACCCAGAATCGAAAAATTTGAATGTCTGTCACCAGATTCGAAAAAAATTTGTATGTCTGTCACCCAGATTCGAAAAATTTTGCTTCCTATCACCCAGATTCGAAAAAAATTGAATTTCTGTCACCCAGATTTGAAAAATTTTAATTTCTGTCACCCAGATTGGAAAAATTTGAATTTCTGTCACCCAGATTGGAAAAATTTGAACGTCTGTCACCCAGATTCGAAAAATTCGAATGTCTTATACCCAGATTAAAAAAATTTTGTATGTCTTCCACCCAGATTGGAAAAATTTGAATTTATGTCACCCAGATTCAGGAGTCACGGGACCTACACGAGGTGGCGCTGCTGGTCGTGGGCAACAAGCGGGACCTTCTGCCGGACACGCGGTACGCGGCTGAGCGGTCCAGGGAGATGGCCTCCCTCGTCCGCAAGCAGTGGAAGGCGGGATATGTTGAGGTCTCAGCCAAGTACAACTGGAGGGTCGTGGCAGCTTTCAGGTTGGTGACTGATGTGACCGAGGTTTAATGTATAAAGGGCCAAGAGAAGTGACACCGTAGTGGGCAGAGCTTTATTACGAACTGAACAACACTGTACAACGGGTTACCACAATGACTTATCCTGTTGCCATACAGTTAAGCTAAACGCCAAATGGTGATTACCACAGTAACTCACGAAACTTGGTTGCAAGATTGAAAATGTAATGGTTGAAATGAAATGCTAGACTAAAGACTAGAATAAAGTATTATTTTTGACTGAGTGGTGGTGGAGCGTAAATTTATTTAGGGAGATGGTGCATGTTTTGCTGTTAAGTGTTTAGAAAACAGCGTTTGTACAGCAAATTATTGTTATATAACGGAGAAATCCGGAATCTAAATCTGATTATCCTCGACTCTTAAACCAATATCGGCGTGATTTTATTGTTGTTTTTATTTATTTGTGTATTGATGTATTTATATGCTCTACTTCGAAGCTACTCATGATGGTCATTCCTCTCTGCCAACAGAGAGCTGATCGCCGCGGTGGAAGAGACCCGAGCCAGAGACTCGAGTCGCCCTCACAACCTCCATGAGCTGCACGAGGCCATCGAGAGTTCCAAGTGTACCATTCTCTGATACCGGCACCTCACGAGACACATCGTCTTGTGCCTCACAAGTTCCAAGTGTACCATTCTCTGATACCG